CCGCCAAATTTGTTTTCCAATTATAATAAACATTTGGCAATGTAAAAATATATAGGTATTCCCTATAAGCAGTTTTCCGTATCTAGAAGAATTTTTCGTATTCTTTATTACGCCCAAGTTGAATGAAAATTCGGCGGAATTTCAAACAGGTTTTGAAAAATCGGTTAGAAAGCAGAAATGAAGGAAAGATAGAAAGTTTCTTACCGAATGACGACTCAGATTTTCCAGGTGGATATGGCAGCGGTGCTATGGGATATCCGAGTGTATTAGAAAGAGATCCACCCAAACCTCCAGAAGGATAGGTGCTCGGCAATTGGCCGTACCTTTGGCCTTGGCTCGGTGGATAGAACAGAGAGGACTGTGGATAACCACCCGGGTAGCCGGAGCCACCAGGATAGCCGGAGCTACCTGAATAGCCACCAGGGTAGCTGGAGCCCCCGGAAGTGCCAGTTAGCATGGAAGTGAAAGCACGCACCAGTGAAAGAGACAGGTCACCGATTAGATCTAGAAAAAAAGGAGAAGGTTTTAGAGAGCAGGCTAGGAAAGAACAGGAAGGGTCTTAGAATGATAGTATAGAGAAAAGCTATAAATTTGAAAGCTTTGACTCTAAACCAACTAATGAAGTGCCCACAAATGCAGTCTGAAAAATCGAAATTTTGCAATTTTTTATTGAGAGTCATTCAAAAATTATCAAAGGCACATTTGAAATTTGGATCAGTTTTTACAATGTTGGCCTTTAATTTGATGTTTTTTTCTTGTTTCTTCTTCCAACAGTTTTCTCCTGGAGAACAATTTTTGACTACAAAATTTTTGATTTTGGCACCTCACTTTGATAGTTCTGGCACTCATCAAGGACTTGATAAGAATTTTCCGTCAATTTTTCCCCAAATTTTGGGTACAAAAATTTTAAGAAAATTTTCAAAAAAGAGAATATTCAAAGAAATAATCATTTTCCACCAAATTTCCATTAAATATTGCGCCAATGTTCTTTTGCGCAATTCTGACGTCAGCTTTAAAGTTCATCCAGAAATAATGTCAGCTTTTTCGAGCTGACGAAATTGGTTTGTTCCAAATCTGAACTAATTCTTTAGTACAATATTTTTAATAAATTGTTCGCACAAATACACATACAAATCGATTTCTAGGACCAAAGGCGTATCATGTACTTGATAATAGTTTCCAGTAACAAGACTATTCTCAGGTACATGATCGCCTATACTGACCCAAAATCAATAATCAGCAAATATTATATTAGGTTCTAGAAAATTCGAAAATAAAATATAAAATTTTATTCTCGAAACAGTTGGTGTAACTAAAATTATAGCCGACCTTGAATCTCCATGGGCTGTCTGCTTTGCGCAGGCTGGAGTGAGTTGCCTGCTAAGTAGTAATTAGGAACGGGATAATATTGAGCTGGAGCCGGCGCCGGATAAGCAAACTCATATGGAGAGCGGTAGGGAGATGGCAGCTGCCAGGAGGGGTATATACCTGACGTGGGTTGCATTTGGAGGCCGCGTAATAGGTCTGAAAATATGTTTACATGAGTGGTAATAGGAAATGGTCTTATATAATACATTTTAAGACATTCCTACGAGAGTTCAAAGTTCTTGAGGATGCTCATTAGATATAGTACAAAAGTGGATGCTTAACGTTGCTTAGAAGTGCGCTTAATCCCGAGTAATGGCTCGAAATTAAACATTGGCTTAGGGCGGTTCTCTACATATTCATTCAGTCGAAAACCCCGTCCCGTTATATGTTTTCACTGATTCCGAATTTGAGGTAAGTTTTGGCATTCTCCTATTCCAGGGCTTAAATTGGCAAAATGTCAGAACCAAGCGATACAGAGTTCCTAATGCCAAAATATATCCCGACTTCGGAATGAGCGGGGTCGAAACCGTCTTGGGAGTACTTGGTCTTTCGGAGATCAATTCTTGATCGTAACCACACAAATGGTCATTTTTGGCGGTTGACCAATAGTTAGGAGGAATAATCTTTTAGCTTTTTTCACTCCCTCGCTTTAGCTCAAGCGTATGCTTAAGAGAACCTTCCAATAAGTGGTTGCAGTGAGATTATAGCACTGGCGTATCCAGAAACTCTGTGCTCTGATCATGGTGGGGAAATTCGATAAATGCAAAGGAAGGCTTCATCGAAGCTTTATCGAAGTTTTCTAGTAAGCGCGAATCGCCGGCCACTGTTTCCTGCTGTTTCCCAGCTGCGCTCATTCGTTTCCCTCGTTGGAAAGATAACAATGAATGCGCGCAGCTGGGAAACAGCAAGAAATAGTGGCCGGCGTTCCTTTGCAATTATCGAATTTCCCCACCATGGTTATAACATAATTTAAAACCGTTTGTTTGTTTGTTCGTTAATTTGTTTGCCATTTACAATCTAAATTTATTACCTTATAATATTTTCGTGGTCGGAAAAGACGAACTTGGAGACATGTATGGCACTGGCGTATCCAGAAACTCTGTGCTCTGATTTAGTCTCTTCTACACTGAGTGCTATTTCTTTGTTAAAGCTAAAAAAAGAGGGACACCGGCAGACACAGCAATGGTTAATCATAGCTTAGAAAAGAAGATAGAGAAATTTCTAGAGCTTCTTTTCTAAACTATGCTTAACCATTGTTGTGTCTGACGGTGCCCCGCTTTTTTTGGCTTTAACAAAGAAATAGTACGCAGTGAAGAAGAGACTAAATCAGAGCACAGAGTTTCTGGATACGCCAGTGGATTATAGGCATTATGACCCTGGCGATGTTTTGCAAAATTTTATAGTCACTGATTTTACAATCACAAATCTCACCTTGCAGATTAACCTGCCCATAGGCACCCAAACTCGGAAGTTGAGCATTCACCGAGAAATCAATAAAAACTGAGTGCAATAACGTAGCTAAGAAGTAAATCCGAATTCTGGAATACATATCGCAAAATAAAAATTTTTGATCACTCTTTAGGCCATTCTACACTTCAATAGTTTCATTGATACAATCGAATGCGGCGATATCTCTCACTCTCGATTATTCAATTGGATGAGTGTGCACATTTGTGCGAGGATAAAACAACAAAGGTGTTAATCCTCAATTATTGACGCTTTCGCTGAGACCCGCCAACAGATGAAACACGTCCGCGAAACATTGTCCCGTACTAATGGCGAAATATGCAAATCAGAAAGTGACATATAGTTAATTTTGGCGTAATGATCATGAACGAATCGTACAAATGCTTTTGGCACTGAAAATTGTTGATCAACAGCCAAAGCGTCATCCGGAAATTTGGACATGTTTCCTGAATTAAAAATGTAGAAAAAATTAACAATAGAGGGTTTATTTTCAGTCATCTATTAGCATTGATGTCAATATCTATGAAAAACTATAATATAGTTTGGTAAATTATATTATTGTTTTTCATAGATATTGACTGCTTCAGATCACTGCTTCCGGAACATTCTAAAAGGGCGAATAATGGCACTCGAAAGCCCAGATTTTTAGTATTTATTTAAGATTGTTGTCCTTCTATCTAAGACATTTGATCAGAAGCAGTGATCAGAAGCAGCCAATACCTATGAAAAAACTATACTATAGTTTGATAATCTATAGCGTAGTTTTCATAGAAATTGACACCACTGTCTACTAGCGGCCTAAATCAGTGGACTCCCTCAATCAATCGTGCCGTCTCGAAAACCCATTCGCCCATTTTTCTATTTCTCTGGTCTTTTTCGCACACTCTCCCGCGTTAGGTGGTTGATTACATAATAACGCGTGAGTAAGGAAAAACAAAACGAACAATTTTCATTTCCACAATGAGAAAGAAGAAATAGCAGAGAAAAAAGACAGCAGAGAAAAAAGCAGCACGTCAAGACAACGATTATACACACAGGCACGATCCGAATCAGTCACGATCCCACAAATCAAGCTATGGCGCGTATAAAGTTATTCGCAAATAATCATGGGAGAGCTTCTATTATAGGAAGATAGATAAATGACTTGGCTTTTCGAGAATGAAAAATTTTGAGCCACTAGCATTTTATCCACTTCTTATGAACAGAATTTAATTTTATCGCCTTTATTTCTCGACCAAATCTACAGCCTCAAATGTCGTCTGAGAAAAATTTTGGGGGCTACTGCACTTTACGGGGGCAAACAGTAGGAATTCAAAAAAATTTTCGATTTTTGGGAAACCATGTTTTCATGGGTAATTTTATGCGCTGAGCACGAATCTGAAGTCAGAAAATACAAATTCGCGCGTTTTTGGCGATTTTTTGGCATACTGCAGTTTACGGGGGCAAATCAAAAAAGTGCAGAAATATGCTGGAAAGTAACATGGAAACGCGATACCCAGGGGTAATCGACCCCGCTGAGTTCGAATCTGATATTATTTTTGCGCTGTCCCGCCTCGAAAACGCGGATTTTCAAAAAAATTTGCTAATTTTCGTCTAAAAAGGCCAAATTTTGACTGTTTTTGCCAATTTTCGCAATGCTATCGATTTATTTTGCAGTAATTCTTCTTCATTTTATTATTGCAACAATATAGCCTAAAGGCGTTTCAAATAACGTGGATACAAGAAGAGTTGTAGTAATGTTTTAAATAAACCACAGAGTATTTGAGCGTTTTCTTAGTTGCTTCTAATATGCGCGGTTATGGCCGAGTGGTTAAGGCGACAGACTAGAAATCTGTTGGGCATCGCCCGCCTAGGTTCAAATCCTAGTGACCGCGAATTTTTTTGTTTTCTTCAAAACTTCAGTTTAGACAATTTTTTAGGTATATTTATTAATCTCACCACATTTACAAATCAAATTTTGATCGATTTTCAAATTGCCGCAATTCAGTTGAAAATTTATAACATTTTTAATTTATGAACATATGTTTAAAAAGTGCGTTTCCAAGACCAACCTTCGAAACGCACAGCTCAAATTTATGGTCAGAGGAAATGGTACAGTGATAATTTCACATGAGAATACGTTACCAATGGGAATATGTGCATATCTTCTACTACATCGAACACGCGCGGTTATGGCCGAGTGGTTAAGGCGACAGACTTGAAATCTGTTGGGCATCGCCCGCCTAGGTTCAAACCCTAGTGACCGCGAATTTTTTTTGTTTTCTTCAAAACGAAAACATTCGCGGTCATTAAGATATTTGTAGAACTCACCACCCCTGTAAGATTATATTTGCGACCATTTTAGACAATTTTTTTACTTGTCGTTTTTTACCCGCGTCTACGAAGTGAAATATTGATCAATTTCAATTGACGCAATTTTTATTTCTCAATCGTTTGTGTCTAACGATTCAGTTGGGAATTTGTACCATTTTGAAGCACATATTTCTCAAGATAATTTATAGAATTATTTTTATGCAAGCATCTCAAAATAAAAATTGCGCCAATGTGAAAATTTTACGATATCTTTGACTATATCTTTGACTTTTTACTTTCACCAAGTGCAGGATCGTTTATGTGCAAAATCCGTTTGTGAAGGACACGCATTCCCGTGAATTACGGTGAGTTTTTCCAGAAGTACGTTGAAGTCAAAATCATCATTGGCCCAGGTAATTTTGATCGAGTTTTGAGCAAAATGGCGGAGGAAAAGACAACGGTTTAAGAGTTAGTATGACAACTTAGTCGGAGAGTATTTCCTATTTAGACAAGCACAATAAATTTCGCAGGAAATTTCTGGCTAAGTGAATTTATTGACGGAAGGTAACAATGATGCTACGAAGAGAAAACAAAATACCCTAAACTCTCTCATTTAATCCCCGGGTTATAATTATTTAACCGAGCTCTAGGAGCAAAATTAGAGGGGTGTGCAGAATTTAACCGATGTATTTTTCTCACCGTGCCGGAGGCGCGGCGTGAAAAATTTGTGGGAATTTTGCTCAAATTTCAAAAATTTTCGTCATTTTTTGACATTGAATCAAAAAAATCTAAATTTGAATTGGCGCCCAAAAAGTTTTGAACATTTTTCAATTTTTTCCAATTCTGGAAAAAATTGTAAAAATGAAAATTCTTAGCAAAAAATTGAATTTTTGTTATTTTCCAAAAATTTGACCTTTTGAAGATTTAGGTTAAATAGGCATAATTCCACAGATTTTTGGCGGCAAACTGTTTTTGGTCATTAATTGCTTCTATTAACCGGCCCTATGGATTTATTTTGCAGAATTGCCCCTCCCCGGGCATCGACTGACTCTATTAGTGGATCATATTTTTATAGTATATTCTTAACGCAACATACTCAAAAATACTGTCCCAGGATGTGTATTTGTCCCACATAAAGGAATTTGTTGTGAATGATGCCTCCACACATGGCGCAGCCAGGGGGCACGCCCCCCCCCAAATGGGAAAAAGCAATTTTGCTATGTAAATATTTTTGAAAAGCGGGGCGGTGCTAACTCAAAAAATGTGCCCACTCCCCAAAAAAATGTCGATTACCTTGAAAACGTGCCCCCTCCCAAAAAATCCTGGTTGCGCCCCTGCCTCCACATATATGAGATGGCTTTCTAAGAAGTTTTATAATATTCTATTTCTGAAATCTAGAGCGTCTGGAATGTTTTAACAGTAAACATAGAACATTTCAAAGCAATACGGTCTGTTCTAAAGTTCCTATAATTAACGAACAATAAGAAAAGCACAAAAGTTCTTATGGCTTTCATTAAAAGTTATTTACCAACATTCAAAGTTGGTAATCAATTCCTGGCAAAATAAGTTTATCGGAAGGTGACAATGTCGCTATGGTAAAAAAGCAAATTACATTAGATTTGGCAAAAACTGTGGATCTCTAATTGAACTTCTTATACAGGACCCGTTTTCTTTTTGGCGAGATACAGCAAAGTAGCGACCAAAGCAGCGATGAACAGCAAGATCAAGCTAGCAGCAGAAATCAACCAAATGAGAGTCGAATAGTCGGACACAGAGATCAATGCCTGACAATCCTTCGAATAAGGGCCAAAGATGTCGACCGAATCGTATAAGGTCCTAAATCTTCAGAATACATTGAGCTGTAAATACAAACTAATATTGATAACTTACAGATGGATTCGAGTGGAAAGCTTGACCGCCGTCGCATAAACCTGAATCGCCTTTTCATCGCAATGGTTCTCGAGCATGGCACGAGTACATCGAACCAAGGTTTCCGTCACCCTAAAACTTTGTACTTGTGTATCATGCATATACGCCTTGTTTCATTTGGATTCCTTATTATCAGTTTCGTAATATACCAAGGTATTATTCCGAGGTATTCAAAGTTCATGTTCATTGATACGTGAATTTTTGTTCTGAAAACGGTGCGAAGTAATACCTAGGTACGGTCCAAGGCCCAATTTCCTGGCCCGGGATTACGGTTAATTCACAATCATCAGACGGCATTGCGCATTTGCTGTTCCTAATGTTTTCATGTTCCTAAGTTTTATGTTAAATCTCGCGGAGACGAAGCGATTGACGTATCACTCGCCAAAATCCGAGCGCAGCGTGAAAAGTTGCCTTTTCTGGCCCCTGGGGGGCTAAAAGGGTCATAGGGGGCCACAGGGGGCGCCTGGGGCTGAAAATGGTACCATTCTTCTTATCTCGCCGAGACGCAGCGATTGACATATCACTCGCCCAAATCCGAACGCAGCGTGAAAAGTGGCAACACCCCCCCCCCCCCCGACATCTATACTGCGAAATAGGTTAGAGTGGATTTGTCAAGACTTACAGGCATTCCATCTGCAGATCCTCATAACTGAGACAATTGATCAGGTCTTTCTTTAACAAGTGAGAGAAAGTTTCGGTGCAGCGTTTCATTTCGTGTTCTATTGAGCGAATTCTTAAAATTGTAAACCAT